TTTGGTGTGGATTCACATGAATAATTGCGCCAGGACAGGAGGACGACTGTTCAAAACGAGAGTGATGTGAGACTGAACAATAATGGTAATGTTTATTCCCAAAGTGTGGGTGGCATACCGTCATACGTTTACAGTCGGAATGAAACATGACTGGGGGTTTGCGAGTGGTGGGGATTGCGAGGAAAGGGGACAGCATCATAAACGGTGTTAAGTAGTCGCGTTTGTGTGGGCACCCGATCCGCCGGCGGTCAGCGTGGACAACTGGATATATGAGAGTTTTGGCGGTTCGCTGTGGTTACGTTTGTGGCTTTGGCTGTCGTGGTCTTGAACATCCATCGACTTCGCATACAAAGAAGCCATTTTTGACGAAGTGGAGATGGAGATTGGCGGTTACACATCCTCGGTCGTTGTACGGTTGTCGCAGGATTCACCAATGTCGAGGCCAACGTACGTATTTGATTTGTCGGTGGGCTTCGCTGCTTGTCCCCGCACATCTGACTCAGTCCAGTTCACAATCTGTGAATTTGGTGAGAAGTTTACCACTGCACCTTTGTCATCTGTTAAGAAAAGAGGCGCTGATAGCTCCACTTACTTTGGGCGCTGCTTCCACGTGATGCCCGCCTCCTGAGGATCGTCACCGTCTTTAGTGTACGAGGGGTCCGTGGTGGCCGAATAAAAACTGCTGTTTCCGGGACGCGACCGGTGGCGTCGGCATGCTTTTGGGAGGTGGTCTTGAACATCGACTGTGTTCGCATACAAAGAAGCCATTTTTGACGAAGTGGAGATGGAGATTGGCGGTTACACATCCTCGGTCGTTGTACGGTTGTCGCAGGATTCACCAATGTCGAGGCCAACGTACGTATTTGATTTGTCGGTGGGCTTCGCTGCTTGTCCCCGCACATCTGACTCAGTCCAGTTCACAATCTGTGAATTTGGTGAGAAGTTTACCACTGCACCTTTGTCATCTGTTAAGAAAAGAGGCGCTGATAGCTCCACTTACTTTGGGCGCTGCTTCCACGTGATGCCCGCCTCCTGAGGATCGTCACCGTCTTTAGTGTACGAGGGGTCCGTGGTGGCCGAATAAAAACTGCTGTTTCCGGGACGCGACCGGTGGCGTCGGCATGCTTTTGGGAGCGCAAGAGGCCATAATTGTGATCGGTTTTTTCCATTTGATTGGGATCAGCTGAACTGGTGCCAAGCGTAAGCCTGGTAATGTGGTGAAATATTGGTAACTCGGGCGAGTTTGTTGGTTGTTGACCAGATGGCTGTTGATCTGTTGGCCGAACTTGGCAATTGGCTTGCAAACGTTTCGTCACCATACGAGGAGACATCATCAGTGCGCAGTTGAGTGGGTACTTCTTCCCCGCCGGCGTGCGCTTATGTAGCATTCGAAGGCTATGTGGTAATCCTGTTTCGCGCCTCTATTCTAGAACTGCTGTGACCCAGCTTTTGCGCCTCTAGAAAGCAATACTTGGATAGACCCCTGATCGTTGGGTAGACTTTTTGAATGTACGGTAGATGGGGAGGGAAGGGTGACTAGAAACCCAAGGGTTTGTTTGCTTCCCTTCTGGCCTAACCATTCTGCGTGAAGCGATAAGTTTTCAGGCTTAGTAAGGACATTACCAAGGTGCGACTAAGCCAGCTTTGTTGGCGTGATTTTCCCAGGAAATGACCCCCCAGATTACCATTCTGCTCACCCTTAAGTGCCAGTCTACTAGAGAAGCGGTGGCGGTATTTATTACCGCGTCAGAGAGCTAGGTGAAGTTCCTCGCAGCCAAAAGACCCGGGATGGGTAGCGCAAAATACGCGTTCAACAAAAAAGGTTCTTCATCAACATTCGTCCAGGTCGTTGCGCTCTTCGTGTTTGCATCCTCCAGTGGGCGCTATACCTCAAACTGACACCAAGTCACTTGTCTGAGCTCCACCAACGGTAGTTTCATCACTCATCCTGTCAATATAACCGACCACTTGAATGCTTACTTTGCCAGCTGCTACTTACCTCCTTCACCCAATTTCAATCCTACAATCTCCGCCTCATATTCCACCCCCCTACAACAGAGTAACCGCCCGTCTCTGAGCAGCTTGACCATCTCCCTAGCTGATGTATCAGCCCTTCTTCAAAACCTCAGAGACTCCGCCGTGCCGGGAGGCGACGGCATACCATCGCGTGTCCTGAGATATGGCGGTCAAGATGCCAAAACCCTTGTCCTAAATCTTTTTACTCACTCAGTCAACTCTGGAATCGTCCTCTTCCAAGGAAACAATCCGTTGTTCGCCCTCATTTAAACTGCTTCCAATTACAGAGGGATCCACCATACCCCTCTTTTAATGCGAACCATCGAACGTCTGGTGAAAGGCCCGTTAATCAGGTTTCTCCTAGCTACGAACGCCATAGATGATCGACAGTATGGATTCCTATCTCGAAGATCCGTAAATGGCTGCCAGCTCCACTTCTTTGAGACCGTCACAGCAGCTTACGACACTGGATACTCCATTGTAACAGTCTATCTGGACATCCAAAAAGCCTTCGACCAGGTACCCACGCCTCCCTGCTACACAAACTTACCACCGTTGGCATCACGGGAACCTTATTTCAGTGGTTTGCCTCCTATTTATCAGACAGAAGGCAAATAAAGCAAATCGGGGACATACAATCATCTCCACTACCGATCACTAGCGGAGTCATCCAAGGATGCTTACTGTACATCAATGACGTCTTCGGCGCCATATCCCATGGTTAGGCCTTCCTCTTCGCTGACAATATAAAAATCGCGTACACATTCCCCACCTCTGCAAAAACCCTTGCCTTTCACCAGATTAAGCAAGACCTAGATTCACTGACCCCATGGTCAAACTAATCTGGCCTAAGCTTCTCCTCCACGAAACCTGTATAACATCCTGCCGCTGCTCTCTCCCGGCTGATGCTTTCACAATTAATGGAAATCCTATTACTCATTCTACAGAGATCAAAGATCTCGGCCTCAGATACTCCTGTACTTTTAGCTTTTTCCACCAGGTGCAATTTCAGGTCGCAAGAGCGCGCAGGCTCAGTTTTTTAATACTGCGCTGCTGACACCTTCCAGACACGATGGTTGCAGTCTTTAAGGTATGCGTACGACCAATCGTGGAATTCTGTCCCGCTACACCCAAAGTTGCGGACTCGCAATTGAAAGCGTCCAAATCTCATTTACGAAAAAACTCTTTTCTCAGTCCAACACCCTCTCTTACTGCTCCCGCTGTCAAATCCTAAGCCTCGAACCACTATGGCCACTACTTCGTTCTAGTTTATTACGCTCGCATCTGGAAGAGCCTTCCTGAGCAGCTACGAAGTATCACGCATCACCATGCCTTTCCCAGTCTGTAGACAAATTCCTTACCTGTGAAACTGCTGCCGCCTTACTTAATACTCAACTACCCCTGACCTCCTCTACGAATCATGTCCAGTGCGCATATGAGTTGAGCAACGTTACAGTTAGTAGGCAAGTAAAGGATCCTTTTACCATTTCTTCCCATCCTCTTGACCCGATTTAAGCTGATAAAGGACTAAATGCCAACTTCTAAATATGCGGCGTTACTGGCCTGGTTGTTTTCCTTTTTTCCCTTTCCCCCGTACCTACTTACACCTTGTACTAGTCTAGATCCGGACTACTCCGTAAACTCTGTCTAGCGTCCATTTTTCTCGTCCAAACTCTACTGGCAAAAACCAAACCAAAATTATCTATTTCTTCCCCAAATCACTTCACGGCTTAATCACCTACCAATTCTAATTATGCTGTGTTACTGGCCTGGTTGTTTTCTCGTACCCAGTCAACTTATGCCTCGTCCTAGTCGAGTCCCTGCCCCGGATTACTCTATCAGCTCTGTCTAGTAACTGTTGCTTTCAGTCTAACTCTAACTGATAAAAACCAAACCAAAGTCGATTTTTTTTCTTCATTTCATTATCAGAGCGCATTCTGCGCTTATATATATCCATTTAATGATTTGTTCCACTAAACACTCCCACACATAATATCGCGGAATGCTGCTGCTCGACGTGGCAGCCCACACTAACGCTCCGACGCCGTTTAGCCATGGTGCAATCGCCGTGAGTATCAGCATTCCAGTCCCACCGACTCATTGACAACCGTCATTTCACTTCTGCTTCGCGACTTGCCTCTACCAGTGTCTGTATGCTGCTGCTTGTTTGGATTGACTGAGCTGTCTTTACTGGCCTTGCTTTCCCCCGACCAAAAACAATGGTAGCTGGAGTATTTATTAATGCACAACCCGCACTTATGACTGCTTGGATGGTTTTCCACCTTGCAGATCTGGTAGCATGCACGAGGGAGAAAAACCTCGTGTAGTGGACGGGTACGCCCTACAGGGAGGGTCGCCCTGTTACGTTGCACCATGGTGCGTTCGTATACCCACCACCCCTCCAGAAGCACGGGTGCATCGCCCAGCGCCGGTGGTTCTGAGTCTGGGCTTTAAATTCAGGGAATCAAAAAAAGTACTGCTGACTTCTGTTTGTCGCTGCTGGTGTTGGGCTCGCCTCGGTGGAGTTATGCAACTGGCAATGCCATAAACCACAGATGAAAAAAACTGGCCGCTTATCTGTAAAAAAAGAAACTTAAAAGATGACTTGGAATAGCCCGAAGACACTCTGCAATGCCCATGGCTTACAACGGCGAGCATAGTTATATCTGCTTTCGTCAGAACAGAGGCTACACCGCACCAAACCCCATACCGTCATCCAAACAGAGAATACACCTACTCACCACTCCCGGTGGTAGACACGAAAGTCTTCATCGCTATGCACCACCTACAGATTAGAGCTGATAGCAGTGCTTCGGAGACTGGTGACTAATTCTCAAGCACACACTTTCTCTCCTGGTATTATCCAACTCATGTAATAAACGCTCGATTAACCAGTTAGCTTAGAAGTCCATTCACGCCAGCCCTTACACATCTGATTCCCATACGGTGCTTCTGCGCACTTATATCGGCTTTTACTAGATCCCTTGTAATACAATATCGCATGTTATCAAACTCAGCCCCTGGTCACTAGCATACTAAGCACAAATCTATCTACTTCCTACTCCATGTTATCACTTGTCATCACCCTGGTTGCATCAGACGCCAAGTTTTTCTTTTTGTGTATATCAATGCATATTATCCCATTTTATATCCTCTCAAACTCACTATGTTTTCCGAATCTCCTCCCATCCCCTCACCTTCCCAAGCTTTGGACTTCGGAAGTGCCCGCTCTGGACGACCTGGTTAGCTGATCTCCACTCCACCTGGCCTATGATCTACAACTCCTGGATCACCAAACGGACCAAGAAAAACTACAATCCCATATCGGTTTCGTTCCAGCTTTTTTCCTCGACCAGGCTGAAATGAATGCCGCTGCTCACTGAACTGCACACCCCGAGCTGAATAATCTCAAATGTGACGTCCGTCGCAGGGCTGTCCAAAAACTGAAGCATGTCAGGCCACTAATGTCAAGGCACTGCCATACTCAGTTTGATAGCACACCCGCAACTGTTCCATTCCTCCTCTCAACCGTGCCCTCTTGCCTACTCGTTTCATTAACCCCAACGACCACCATGACATTGATTCCAATTTACTGGATTACTCGTTCGAATTCAACCACCTCTGTGTCCCCATCAAACCTCACCCCTTCACCTGACTTCCCAACAACAGTGCAACCAGTGAGTCTGCTTGTTCTCAGATTGCACCATATTTCTGAGACTAAACTTGCCGTGTTCTCCCAACTCGAATTATTCCATCTCCACCTCCACTTTTGCTCGTTATGACTCCGGTCATGTACCCAACCGCCCAAGGCACTCATGGCCAGCTATGGTTTGCCAGTTTTTGTTCATGTCAGGCAAATTAGTCTTTGAATTAGTCCGGCCTCATCCCTACTGTTCCACACAAGTTGCAAAAGGAACATATTATTATTTCACCCAGTACCTCCCGCCGTTTATGACATTGTCCCCTTTTCGCACAATCCCCACTACCCGCAAATCCGCCTATCAGCCTGACTGTAAACGCATGATCATGCCAGACGGTATGCTACCCACAACTTGGGAATATACGTTATTATTATTATTATTATTAAATAAGCTTAAGTTTCGCGTCGAGTATCCCGGTCAAAGCAGAATACTGGTCCTTCTGATTCGACAATGGGGATTCTGTTCCGTTTTTGGTGCCTCTCTTAGCTGCCATATGCATTGCACCGTTAATATACAGGCAACTGGCGCAGATAAACGGGTCAGGAGAGTCAGCTGATTGGCTTATTTGGTCGTCCCGTAAACCCATGCATTTGAAGTACCCGTTGACCTTGCAGGTGTGGCATCGCACACCATGTCTTACGTTCGACGGGCAGTCATTTCGCTCACATCTGCTATGGTGTATCCATGGCCAATGAAGGCAGTCTGTATTCATCGATGTCATTACTATGATTGGATACAAAATAGCGCAAAATAACAAGGATTGCCTTTTAAATGTTATGTTGGAGAGATAAAATTCAACAACGACTCACGTGTTCTCTGTGGATAGATTGAAGAGAGAAAAAATCTTCCACAAATTTGCATGAGGGGAAAACGAAACCGATTTCGATCGTACCGCGCCGAAGGTGCTTCGTAGCCGCCACGGAATTCAAGTTACTGCGATACCAGGCCGGCTTATGAACGCACAATGACAGGCTCTCTCCGCGTGCCACGCTGATTCGTGTGACGCCCTTTCAGACGCAGTATCTATAATTTATATGTGAGCTTATATTGCGGTCCGCATATCCAAAAACACGAAAGGATTACGCAAACGGACGTCAGGGCCTCCAGGCACTATTGCACACGGCATTAGCGTCAGTTTTGCCGTTGTTGAGGGCCATGTTTATTAAAATGGGCTAATTCAACCTTTCGAACATGCAACATATCAAAAACTGAGTACTCAAACTGTCTAAGTCATCCAGAATGAGTCCTTAACGATGTACGGATGATTGCTTTATAGAGACGATAATTAGGCAGCAACTAACTCCGACCCCGGTTAGGGGGCGGGTGCCATCTATGGATCGATACACGATCCCTTTTTCATCACAAAGGATCCATACATAGTCTTGGTGTCTGAAGACTTCAACACACGGTTGGGTTGCCTTATTTCAGCGAAAGAATCTGAGAAGTTTGTTTTCATTGCACGCAAAACGTAATGATACTTGTGAGGGTGCTTTCTAACTTTTACTGTCATCTGGTTGCATTTCGGTAATATCTGGTTTAGAAACTGCGCATGCCTCTGCACCCTCAGTTAAGGATGGTGAAGTTGTTTTGAGACTACCGGTCATCGTGAAGTAAACATATTGTTTAGAATACACCAACTCATCATTTAGGCTATCAGTAAACTGCATCTTTGAACACCAGGATGAGACTGACAATTATGCGGGAGACAGAATGTATATGTATATATATCTAAGTCAAGTGCTAAACATTTCAAATATTTGGAAGTCACTTAAGCATAAGCTAGCCTACGCGTCATTTAAAACTGAATTAAGCATGCTCATAAGGTTGTCCACCTGCTTCCAAAATCTCATTATATTTACCCTCTAACTGTCGCAGTATTCCCCTATTATACGGACCTTAAATGGAAATTATTGCCAGTGTTGGGACATAGGTTTGTGTTCGGGCAAAATTAGGGCTTTCCAGCTGTTGGTAAACTAGCCTCAACTCAAAATTGGATGATCGGCCGTGACAGATCAGCGGGAAAGATAGCGCGGTTAAGTTCAGCCATCCATTATTATTATGGTAACAGGGCTGGTAAAATCGTACAAAGGCAAAACCTTGCATTTACAGTAATACCGGTGCATCGCGTTTTTGTAGCAATGAGACAAACTTACGACCATGTAGGCTAGCGAATCTCGATCCTCTTTTCCAAACAGGTAACTATTCTTTAATGAACATTTCTATCCAAAACAGACGTAAGAGGCGCATGATCCCAGTGTTACGTGCGTAATCTCAACTAAAACCCGTAGTATAGACATTACAGAAGGCCTGTTTTGTTGGCACCACATTTTTGTTGTTGGGTGCATGACCGTTTAAGCAAGACCGGTTTCGATTTAGAACTTGAAAATAAGGGTAGAGAATCCGGATAACAGCTTGGTGCTAATGAACGTGGAAGGTTAACCAGTCTACAAAATTCATGGTGGAATTAGTCATGCTCCTGGTGCTCCAGGTTAAATTATCAGTTTTGACTAACGAGCGGCTGGAAACAAGCAAGCGGCTATCTATAAAAAGTTCTTCTGAATTTTCGGCCGAGGTTGTACAAGAGAGAGCAATTACTAGTGATAATTTCACAGAGTCATGGTGATGAACATGATTGCTCAAGAGTAAGAGTAAGGGAAAAAAGATGATTTATTCATAATCTTTTCTACATAAGTACAGGCCTCCCAGTAAATCTGAGGGACCGTGGGAGATAGGTATGAAAGCGCGTGTGATAATTTGTACCAAAGTATACACCTCCTGCCTACAGGATAATTCAAATGCGCATACCACAATGGATGATAAATGATACTGTGCTACCTCCAACTCAAGCTTATGTATTGAGATGCATTAAACAGGAAACTGGGTGAATTACTAATGAAGGTCAAATGTGCTGTAATGCAAGACTTCATTAGTGAAGACGCACCTAGATCATCCGATAAGCGTTCGACCGAAAGCCATAAGAAGTCGATACCGTACGGCGGAGAAGCCACCATCAAACTAGTTCTGTTTCACGAAAAATTAAAAACAAAGCATTCGATGATTTTACTTTCCAGCTGTTGAAATTACTAGCGGCTTCGCATTTTGTGTCCGCATTAAGAACAAGTGATTAAGTTCTACACCGATAATCGTACAAAAATGCACCTGTGACGGGGGTGTTGACAATGTCGATTTGCCAAGCTTGGCAGATCCCTCTTATTTAAAGTGAAAATTTTTGTGCTATATTTCGTTTGTTCACCGAAATGATCGGGCAAGCCACGTGGAATGGCGTCCAACTAAGTTGTGGGAGCATTCATAAGGACTGAGTGAAGCTACGTTGAAGGATACAAAACAACAGAGTTTGAGGCTGTATAAGCCGAGGGATTGCACCAGAATGACAAACATACTCTATCAAACCCGAAAACAGTTGATGCTGGACAGCACGACGAACACGTAAAAAGCGGAGCAAATCTGTCCAAGGACCGCGACTGAATTTCACCGGTTGATTCACGGATCGATTACAAAGTATCAAGGCTTTTTTCAGGTCCCCCAGAGCAGCTTATCCAGCAGCTTCCGTTCACTTGTGGGGTAAAAGAGGAACAACAGTGCGACAAAACCCAGTGGCAGTAAGATGACCAGCTCGGGAACTCACAGAAAGAGTAGTGAAAGTAAGTTGGAGTGTAAGGTGCCGCGTGCTCCCGAAAGCAGGGTGACGAAACCAGCTGCTTCTCCGGACAGCCAGCTTTATTCGACCACCACAGGCCTCTCGCCCACCAAAGGCAGGAACTCCCTGGAGGAGGCAAATCCCACATGCAAGCAGCGCCCAAACTACGTGGAGCCATCGATGCTTATCTCCGTATCAGAGGACACAGCTGCAGCCGCGCACTCGTCAACAAAGTCACAGCCTCTGAACTGGACTGAGTCAGATGTGCGGGGACAAGCAGCGAAGCCAACCTCTAGCTCCACTCCGTCAAAAGCGGCCTCTCTGCTTGTGGACCCAACCGTCGCCCAGTACCCCGACACCCAGAGCCACAAACATGACTACAGCCATCCGGGAAATCCCTCGTACATCCAGTTGTCCACGCTGATCGCTGGCGGATCGGGTGTGCACACAAAC